CACATTGAAAAAAAGCCTTTTCAATTTCTTTATTCACTCAAAATATTACCCACCAATTACATTTCTAGGTATTTACCCAAGACTATCAAACTGTCTTCCAAAATGTCTGTACCTTTTTGTATACCAAAAAGCAATGAATTAGACTTATAATTCTCTACATCTTCACCAGCATTTGGTGGCAGTGTTGTTTTGGATTTGGCTGTTAATGGGTGGTGTATTTCACTGTTTAAATTTGCAATTCTTTAGTGAAATATAATATTAAGCATCTCTCCATATGCTTAATTGCCATCTATATATCTGATTTTTAGTGAGTTATCTGTTAGGTTGTTGGCCCATTTTTAATCAATTTGTTTTTTTTGTTGTTGTTTTTACAGAATTATTTGTGTATTTGGATAACAGTTCTTTATTAGATACTTCTTTTGGAAATATTTTACTCCTGTTCATAGGTAGTCTTCTTATTCTCCTGATATGTGTCTTTTCAAAGAGCCTGAGCTTTACCTGAGGCAATGGTCATCAAAGTGTATATATTTGTGTTTTTATAATTTATATGCATATATTCCTATGAAAAGATATTGTATGCATTATTCAACATATACAAATATAAAAATGGTATAGTAAAGAAATATCTATTTTTTAATTTATAAATGTATTTTTGGGGGCTCCAAGTTGCAAACTAAATAATCTACTTTGGCTAATTTAAGGAATTAAACTATTTTAGAGGCTCTCATTTATTAGGATGACTATAGAACCAGTCTTTTGCAGGCTATTAGTGAATCATAACCCTAGGGCTTCACTGCTACCCCCACTGACACCTCTGACACTTGAAACTGGAGGCTAGATATCTGCCAGTGCTGATAGAAAATAATTGAATAACTTTGCTAGGTAATAGAAAAGAATCAAATGACTCTGCCACCTTGCTTACCAGAAGATTGTGTTTCTCATTTGTGACCTCTTGGCTATAAGTGATAAATAGTCCCTGTGCTACATGCTATAGGTGTCCATAAGGAGTCTGGAAATGTGAGCTTCTTATAACCTATATTTGGGTGATAAAGGTCATTGTATTAGTGTGTTCAAAACACAGACATTCCCCTCTAACAGTCCCCCCAAAGTCTTAACTCATTCCAGTATTAACCCAAAAGTCCAAGTCTGAGGTCTCATCTGAGACAAGACAAGTCCCTTGTGCCTATTAGCCTGTAAATTTGAAAGCTAGTTAGCTACTTTCTAAATACAATGGGGGTACAGGCATTGGGTACATACACCCATTCCAAATGGGATAAATTGACCAAACCAAGGGGCTGTAAGGCCTCATGGAAGTCTAAAATCCAATAGGGCAGTCATAAAACATAAAGTTTCAAAATGATCTCCATTCATGTCTCACATCTAGGTCATGGTGATGCAAGAGGTGGACTCCCACAACTTTGGACAGCTCTGCCTCTGTGGCTTTGTAGGGTACAATCCCCCTCCAGGGTGTTTTACAGGCTGGTGTTGAGTATCTACAGCTTTTCTAGGCACTTGGGTGCAAGCTGTAGGTGGATCTACCATTTTGTAGTCTGGGGGATAGTGGCCCTCTTCTCTCAGCTCCACTAGGCAGTGCTCCAGTGGGGACTCTGTGTGGGGGCTCCAATCCCACATTTCCCTTCCATACTGTCCTAGCAGAGGTTCTCCATGAAGACCCCACCCCTGCAGCAAACTTCTGCCTGAACATCTAAGCGTTTCTATACATTCTCTAAAATCTAGGCGTAGGTTTCTAAACCTCAATTGTTGACTTCTGTGGAACCATAGGCTCAACACCATGTGCAAGCTTCCAAAGCTTAGGGCTTGCACCTTCTGAAGCCATGACGTTAGCTGTACCTTGGCCCCTTTTAGCCACAGCTGGAACAGCTGGGTTTCGGAGCACCAAGTCTCTATAGTACATACAGCAAGGGGGCCCTGGACCCAACCCACAAAACCATTTTTCCCTCCTAGGCTTCTGGGCCTATGATAAGAAGAGTTGCCATAACCCTTCTCATGTCCTAGAGACATTTTCCCTATTGTCTTATTGATTAATATTTGGCTTCTTGTTCCTTATGCAAATTTCCATAGCAAGCTTGAATTTCTCCTCAGAAAATGAGTTTTTCTTTTCTATTGAATCATCCGGCTGCAAATTTTCAAAACTTTTATGCTCTGCTTCCCTTTTAAAAATAAGTTTTAATTCCAAACCATATCTTTATGAATACATAAAACTGAATGCTTCACATCTTGAACACTTTGCTGCTCAGAAATGTCTTCTGCCAGATACACTAAATCATCTCTCTCAAGTTCAAAATGCCACAGATCTTTAGGGCAGGGGCAAAATGCCACCAGTCTCTTTGCTAAAGTATAACAATAGTCACCTTTGCTCCAGTTCCCAACAAGTTCCTCATCGCTATCTGAGACTACCTTGGCCTGGATTTCATTGTCCATATCATTATCAGCATGTTAGTCAAAGCCATTCAACAAGTCTCTAGGAAGTTTCAAACTTTCCCACATCTTTCTGGCTTTTTCTGAGGCCTCCAAACCGTTCTAACCTCTCCCTGTTACCCAATTGCAACGTCAGTTTCACATTTTTGGGTATCTTCACAGCAGTGCCCCACTCCTGGTACCAATTTACTGTATTAGTTTATTCTCATGCTGCCAATAAAGACATACCCATGACTGAGTAATTTATAAAGAAAAGAGGTTTAATTGACTTACAGTTCAGCATGGCTGGCGAGGCCTCAGGAAATAGAATCATGGTGGAAGGGAAAGCAAACACATCCTTCTTCACATGGTGGCAGGAAGAAAAAGAATGAGCAAAAGGAGCTCATTGGTTCTTCCCCTTATAAATGAGCAAACCCCTTATAAAATTATCAGATCTTGTGAGAACTCACTCTCATGAGAACAGCATGAGGGTAAACACTTCGATGATACCATTACCTCCCACTGGGTTTCTCTCACAACACATGAGGATTATAGGAACTATAATTCGAGAGAGGATTTGGGTGGGGACACACCCAAACCGTATCAGTTGTGATATGAGAAATTATCAAATTAAGATGTAGGGAAGATTTAAAAGATTTGAGCAACCACAAATGACAGATGAGTGCTGTAGTAGTGCAAAATACCATTTTGCTCCTATTAAAAATATAATTGTTATTGATAATCTGATTTATAAATGTCTTTAATAATTATAATGAATAATGCTCTCAGAAGCTAAAACTTAAAGCGAAATACACACCTAGGGAGGAATCAGCCTTAACAATAATTCTAGAAATTTAATTTTCAAATTCTTTCTGATAATTATGTCTTTAGTTGACTTCATATGTGATCTAAACACATTATTATTATTTTGGACTTATGATGTAGCTCTTACAGTACATATAGAAGAGCAGATAAAAGTATCAGTTCAACATTTCTTTGTGGTTTGTGCTTTCGTGATAAATATTGTCTTATCTTTTATCCACATACAATGTGTTTATTCATTTTGCATAGATTAATTTGAGAGAACACAGGCAAGGGTATCTTTATAGCAGTGCCCACTCCTGGTACCAATTTACTGTATTAGTTTATTATCATGCTACTAATAAAAACTATACATCACAATAAACTGAGAACCAGCCAGTAAATGAGAGAATTGTGGTCCACCTTTTCACATTGTGGAGTTCTCATTTTCCTTCAGTTTACACTGCTTATTCAACATTATTTCTGCATCATCTGATGCACTGACCAAATGAAGGTGCCTATGTTAGTCTGCACATGATATTAATTCAGCATATTTGGTTTATTCTTCTTTAGATTAAAAATAAGTATGTAATCATTTGCCACAGAATGGCATTTCAGTCATTTGGTCAATGAAGGACCACCTATATTACTGTGGTCCCATAAGATTATAATAACATATTTTTCCTGTACCTTTTCATTGTTTAGATATGTTTTGATACATAAATGCTCACCATTGTGTTAGAGTTGGCTGCAGTATCCAGTACAGTAGCATGCTGTACAGGTTTCTAGTCTAGGAGCAACAGGCTGTACCACATAATCTAGGTGTGTAGTTAGGTTATAACATCTAGGTTTACGTAAGTACACTCTATGATATTCTCACAATGAACAAAACCACTTAATGATGTGTTTCTTAAAGTATGTCCCTGCCATTAATACAGTACGTAACAGTTAGTACAATATGTAATACTGTATTCAGAATTCTAGCTATTTATTTTATATTTCAAATGGATTTCCTTGTGCACTGTGTGGCACAGGGGCATTTTATTTTAGCAACCACTGTTTGAGAAAGGAAAAGTCTTTGAAGGATGTTGAGCAAGGTTGTGACATAGCCAGATGTGAAGTTTTGATCAGTGATTCCATGTTAGCAGATAAAGTTGTATTGGGAAAGATCAAAAGCATGAAGGCCAGATAAGAGAATACTGTATGTTATCTGGGACGGAAATGTGAGGGATGTCAGGACAAATGCTATGACTGAATGAATCTCAATATTCTTGGTGTCTGAAGAATACTGAGACTCATCCAATAAGACTCTGTGTATGATTGAAAGTAGTTACTAAGCTAGGAGGAAGAATGATGAATGATTTTCTGGTTTCTGACTGCAGCACAAGTTTTTGATTTTTAGAACAAAGAATAAATTTTTATATGGTTTATGATTCCTGGTTGAATTTTTAGGGGTAAAAAGTCAGCTGTAATATTACTCTTTCCTGAAACCATGCAGTAGTTGTATCAGTGTGTTCACTCATTTCACACACATTCTTCTGGAACCTGGACACTGCTCTAGAAACTGATTCTTTCCAAATATCAGGTAAGGTTATTCTCAGGCAGACCCTCAGTTTATATAAACATGATTTTCCCAAAATGGGAAGTAAGCGACTTTTCATAAGATTAAAAAAAAAAAAGGATTGCCTTACTAATGCATTATCAATGTTGCATGGAAATGTAGGTGACTTGCATTGAGCATCCTGTATTTGATTCATTGCTCCTGCATGTCTTGCTTTTAGCTGGGATGACAGCAGTTCAGTGAGCAGTGGTCTCAGTGACACACTTGATAACATCAGCACTGACGACCTGAACACCACATCCTCTGTCAGCTCTTATTCCAACATCACCGTACCCTCCAGGAAGAACACTCAGGTGAGAATTACTACCTTTCTTTTTTCCAGTGCTTCAGCCAGTTTCTTCCCCCAAAATAACTTTATAGTAGATTAAGGGATAGCACACAGTCTCAACCCATAATAATCACAGAAACTGGAAAATACAGAGATAACAAGGACTCCCTTTGCCACTCCTGAACCCTGAAGTATCTTTAAACTTAGTCTTTCCCAAAATCACAACTCTTTGGAGGGGCAACAATGTGCACTTCAGATTATTTTGAATAAACAGAAGCAGGTTACATATATATGTATATGTAATGTGCATACCATATAGCCTGGGGGTGTAGTTATCTACACAAATATATTAATTAAATATTGAATAATGAATTAATATATTTGCATAATAATAATGGATTAATATATTTGTATAGATAACTATACCCCTAGGCTATATGGTGTGTATATTACTAATTAATTCATTATTAATATATTTAATATATGTGTGTAGATAACTACACACCCAGGCTATATGATATGTAAAATTAATATATTACATAAAATTATATATTAATATAGTACATTAAAATAATAATATAGTAATATATCAATATATAGTCAATTGATTATAATCTAATTCAGAAAGATTTATATTAGCATCTCTCCTTATAATATTAATATATTTGTTTAAGAATCTAACAATTATTTTCATAGTCTAATTTTAGATACTTGATCAATTTTATATTGATCTCTGAAATATATTACTGGATCTCTTGTGAATGGTAAATAAAAAATGAACATTACATCGTTAAGTTTTACCTCTTCTTACTTTTTCGTATTACATTTGCTATAGAAAATTTCTACCTTTCTCTAGCGTTTAATTGGGGTTTTCTGCACCTATTTATTCTGACATTCTCCAATAACTGCAAGTGGGAATTACGTAGCTAAAATTAACAAAACATAAATGAAGATAAATCAAAATAGAAGAATCTCTGGATTTATCCAGTTATCAGAAAGTACATTTCATTGCCCCAAATCACACTTTATAAATTTTTCTACATAAAATTTTTCTGTAATACTTTTCTTTATAGCCAAAGACAGATTCAGAGAAACGCTCCACAACAGATGAGACCTGGGATAGTCCTGAGGAACTGAAAAAAACAGAAGAAGATTTTGACGGCCATGGGGATGCTGCTGGCAAGTGGAAGACTGTGTCCTCTGGACTTCCTGAAGACCCTGAGAAGGCAGGGCAGAAAGCTTCCCTGTCCATTTCACAGACAGGGTCCTGGAGAAGAGGCATGTCTGCCCAAGGAGGAGCACCATCTAGGCAGAAAGCTGGAACAAGTGCTCTCAAAACTCCTGGTAGGCTTGTCATTTGGCAGCTCTTCTGCAAAAGTGCTTTACTTTATTGTTTCCATTCAATCTTTGTTTTCTCTAACAATAGCATTTCTCAATCAAATTATTATCCATATTAAACATGGAGTCAAATAGTTAAATAGTTTTTCTGTGTACATTTCACAAACTTCGTTATAGAAACCCAAGTAGGGCTTCTATCTAGGCATTCTCTCAAGAGGCCCCTTATAATCTAGGGGTACTGGATGCCTTACTTTACCACAGTTATTTCTGGTCATGGGAAAATAAAATTAGGTTGCTAAAGTAACGATAAAGTTTTTTGTTGTTGTTCTGAGTTTTTAATGAAAGTTTGGAATTTTTACCCTAAATATGCCACTGAATTTCACTTCAAACTCTGAGAGGCAAAAACAATGACACGAACCAGTTGGAATGCTGGAGATTTGAAACATTGCTTGTTCATCAGACTTCATGAAAGAAGAGAATGAAATAATTCTTCAAAATTGTCCCATACTTTTTTTTTTATTTTAAAAAAAGACTCTTCCCCTATTTTTAGAGTAGTGCCTAAATGTCAATAGTCCCACTGAAGTACTAATTAACAGGATACTCCAAATATAATCATCACACAGATATTCAAATGAATTCTTTTTCTAGTAATTAGCTTGATAGGATTAAGTACTATCCTTATAAAGAGAGTTGCAAAATACAAGACATTAACAAATAGCAAAAAATATGTTTTCATTTTATCTTTTCCATCTCTCATAAGATTTCTTCTGACAGCCAAATTTTTGTAGCTATGCACTCAGTCCTCTCAATATATTAGAGTTTTGATCTAAGACAATACATATAAGAAAAGAAGCAATGTAAAGAAGGATTCACATTTAACACATTGTTTCAAGAAGTGTTGTGATATTAAATTGTACAAGTACACATATTTGTGTATTTCTCATTAATTAGGGAAAACTGATGATGCCAAAGCTTCTGAGAAAGGAAAAACTCCCCTGAAAGGATCATCTCTACAAAGGTCTCCTTCAGATGCAGGAAAAAGCAGTGGAGATGAAGGGAAAAAGCCCCCCTCAGGCATTGGAAGATCGACTGCCACGAGCTCCTTTGGCTTTAAGAAACCAAGTGGAGTAGGGTCCTCTGCCATGATCACTAGCAGTGGAGCAACCATAACAAGTGGCTCTGCAACACTGGGCAAAATTCCAAAATCTGCTGCCATTGGTGGGAAGTCAAATGCAGGAAGAAAAACCAGTTTGGATGGTTCACAGAATCAGGATGATGTTGTGCTGCATGTCAGCTCAAAGACAAGCCTGCAGTACCGCAGCTTGCCCCGCCCTTCAAAATCCAGCACCAGTGGCATTCCTGGTCGAGGTGGCCACAGATCCAGTACTAGCAGTATTGATTCCAATGTCAGCAGCAAGTCTGCTGGGGCCACCACCTCAAAACTGAGAGAACCAACTAAAATTGGGTCAGGGCGCTCAAGTCCTGTCACCGTCAACCAAACAGACAAGGAAAAGGAAAAAGTAGCAGTCTCAGATTCAGAAAGTGTTTCTTTGTCAGGTTCCCCCAAATCCAGCCCCACCTCTGCCAGCGCCTGTGGTGCACAAGGTCTCAGGCAGCCAGGATCCAAGTATCCAGACATTGCCTCACCCACATTTCGAAGGTAAGGATTATAAAATGATGCTGGAAAAACATAAAGGATAAATATGTATTAGATACATATATTACATATAAATGTGTATGTGTATATATATGTATTCTAAATATATAAGGTGCATATATATCTTAGAATTCTTTAAAGTACACAGTGAGTTCTGTGATACTTAACCACATAAACACCAAAAATAAAAAAAAAAAGTTCTCATTTTGAGAAATGGCCAAACTTCAAAGTTTCACTGTCATTGTAATATTAGCAACACAAACAACAGCTAAAAGACTTAAAAGTAGGTGGTAATACCTAAGTGTAGTGATAAAGCCAAGTAATAGCTTGTAAAATTTCTATAGATTTTCATCTCTCCTTTTTACATTAAAAAATAAACCAAAGTAGGTCTCTATGATTGTTGGCATTCATTTCCAGCATCATTTTCATGCTGGCTCTTAATGAGTTGATGATCATAAATGTAGATGAAGTTGTTTTCCTTGTAACAGATTACATTGGACAGATTTATACAGTATCATATCTTGACACATTAAAGACAATCAAGATATGATAGGGTTTGAAAATATTCCAATGCTTGGTACAGTATCACAACTGAAGAGGGGGCTAAGCTTTTTAATTCTTCATCTGCTTTCTTTGACATGACTCTGGTAAGGATCATGACTTGGATTGTTTCTGTTCCTGGATTGTTTTTGCTATTAAATATGTGGAGTTCTGCTCTAAGATATCACTGTTTTTAAATACCCATGTGTTTTTAAGTGGTAGGAAAATAAATGCAGTTAAAAATTGGGGACACATATCTAAACCTCTCTGGATTTGTTTTCTTGTCTGCAAATTGGTAGAATATGGTTTATAGTTCATTATGTCTTCAATACTTTTAATGTTTGTTTTTATTCTGTTGACTAAACCCAGAACTTTGATATCTTGGAAATGAAGGATTTTGAAACATTTATTTTTTGTATTAAAGCAATCTCAGATACCCGATTGTTTGAAAAACCTAAAGGTTTTATTCCTCAGTAGAAATATTAATGCTGCAGAACTGTCTTTTTAAAATACTGGTTCTCATTGGGAAGAATGAATTATGGCTTATAGGGAGAGTAAATAGTTCTGTTTCTTAAGTAAAAGCCAAGAGTGCCCTCCTGTGGCCCATTACCTATGAAACAATTTCTCATATTCGTCATAAAATATTTCACTGTAGGAAATACGGATTTCATTGCAACTTAATTAGTAATCATTATGCCATTACTTCATATCATTGTATTTCCATATTTACATAAATTTGATTCTACCATCTGCTTCATTTACAAAACTAAAATGTTTTCTGAACTAAACTCCAAAGTCTAACAGCACTAGCTCTGTTTCAAATCACTATTTTAAAAAACGTATTTGAATAGCACTGGCAACTGACTTAAAACTCTCTGCTGGGAAAATCCAGACAAACTGACTAGTTGCCAACGATGTCCAATATTGTTTCCAACCAACTGCTCCCTGACAGTCACTCAGACCACAAGATACTAGCATAACTCCCTAAACTTGCCTCAAGCATTCCTTCTATATTTTGAATAAACTGTTTTAAAAATTAAGAAAAAAGAAAACATAGAGAAGAACTCATTTAAGTGTTGTCTATCGAATGCGTAGAAGTTGTTTCATTATAATGGTTCTGTAAATAGGTAACAGCAAGTATGGTCAAACTTGAATTTGAGTGAAAGTCTCATGATTACTTAAATTATGAAAACCAGGGGTTTTCATGTTTGACTTACTTTCGTTTCAGCAACTTCCCCTCTTTCCCTAGTAGCAGCCCAGTACTGACCTAGTCTTATATGACAGATTTTCAGCATTTGATTAAGAAGTCCAAGTTTATAAAAGTTCATTAACATAGAGACAGAAAGTACTTTGTAGTTCAGTACACCAAAGCACACTTGGCTCTGTGTACTGTAAATCTAAATATTAAATGTGGATATTAGCTTCTTGGAACAACTGAAGTTGTTATTTGTTTTTCTTTTAGGTTGTTTGGTGCCAAGGCAGGTGGCAAATCTGCCTCTGCACCTAATACTGAGGGTGTGAAATCTTCCTCAGTAATGCCCAGCCCTAGTACCACATTAGCGCGGCAAGGCAGTCTGGAGTCACCGTCGTCCGGTACGGGCAGCATGGGCAGTGCTGGTGGGCTAAGCGGCAGCAGCAGCCCTCTCTTCAATAAACCCTCAGACTTAACTACAGATGTTATAAGCTTAAGTCACTCGTTGGCCTCCAGCCCAGCATCGGTTCACTCTTTCACATCAGGTGGTCTCGTGTGGGCTGCCAATATGAGCAGTTCCTCTGCAGGCAGCAAGGACACTCCGAGCTACCAATCCATGACTAGCCTCCACACGAGCTCTGAGTCCATTGACCTCCCCCTCAGCCATCATGGCTCCCTGTCTGGACTGACCACAGGCACTCATGAGGTCCAGAGCCTGCTCATGAGAACGGGTAGTGTGAGATCTACTCTTTCAGAAAGGTGAGCTTTCCTGGAGGCATTGATAACATCCTCTCCCTTCTTCCCTGCTCTGTGCCTTAACCCACCCCCTACCCCATTAAATTTCCTTGATTTCACTGTGAGTGCCCCTGTGCAAAAGGGTGTAAGAGTGATGAAACTGGGCCTTTCATTTGCTCTTATTACCAAATTTACAGAGGAATAAAATCATTAGGGGTAGGGTGACTGGATAATTTTGTTAATATGAATGCGTAATTTATACCCAGTAGGCAATGTGAACAAAATTCAAAGCGTGTATTTAGATATTGAATGAGATCTCCTCAAGACATTTTAATGATTTTGCTTAAGCTTCAGAACAATGCTAGCTCCTTATGATGACTTAAGCATTTTCAAAGACCAAATTGAAATTATTCTACAATTATGCTCAGAGCAATATGTTAAATTTGTTTCATTTGTACTTCCATGAAAAAATAGCAGATGGATTTCTTGGAAATCCTAGTTGGCCTGGTAAAAAAAATAATCAATTGTCAGCCATGAGTTCTTAGAGAAAATTATGGTGCCAGTGCCATATTTAATGGACCCCTTGAAAAGTAGTCATATTACAAAGCATTTCTCATTGGCTACACGCACACACACACACACACACACACACACACACACACACACATCTATTTTAACTTAGAGTGGAGAACATAACAAAGCATTTCTTGCTTAGTATGTTTATGGCAAAGCATCCCTACAAGCAAAATTACTCTAAATTTTTTTCCTCAAAGTGATCCTTTCTTGGATATACTGGTATTGACTCTGATCACCATGAAGATGTCTTAAAACCACTGCTTTTTCCCTGATAAATGCAATGCTGTTTGTTTCTTGGCACAAGTAAAGCTTTAAATATGGTCTTGGCCACATGTGGAAAGAAACACTGGTCACTGAAAATACCTGGTATATCTTTCTGTATCTTTCCCTAAGTTTTTTTATTTTTAATCTGAAATTGCTGGTGGCATTTCTTCTTTTCTAGACTTCCAGCTTTACTCCCAGAGTGGTATTTTAAAATATCAATTAAAGCCCTTGCCTAGATGCTTTCTGTGTTACACCGGTTTTCCCTTAATCTAAGATTCCTCAATTTGAAATTCCTCATTTTCTCTTGACTTTGTAAAATACAAAACCCAGAGCAAAATATTGCTTCTATCCCTCTTTACTTGCCTAATAATGAGACACGGACAGTCATGCAAATGGGGCTTTCCAGTGAAAAAAGAATTTTAGTACCAGCTAAAATTTTGCTGCTTGCCATGGTGGGCTGCTAATTACAAAATAAATTTTTCCTCATAAAGAAAAAAACTGGGCCAAGACAAACATCTGGGTGATAGCGACTAAAATGTAACCATTTCTCTTTGGTTTTGCTGTGATGTGTTGCTATAGACAGCATACATTAAAACCAGTGAGGGTTCATTTTTCCATCTAAAAAGTCAGGCTTCCTGAAAAAATCTTTTATTCTAGTTTCAGCACTTCTAAGGTAAATGGGCCTCTTCACATGTCGTTTATAAAACTACTAACAAATAAGTTACATTAAAATGTATTAGCAACCTATAGTTTTAATGAATGTATCCTAGATTGCATGCTCATGTTTGAGGACTCTAAATATCAAGTTGATAAACAAACCAAGCATTCTGCAAATAGGGTATTATTTATTAACCATAACCACCTTTCACAATACTGGTTATTTCTTAATTTTAAAGATAATCCATAACAAGTTGGCCATTTAGCCATCAACCTATTTCTTTAGCATTCAGACATTAATCTCAGATTCAGAAATATAGTTAAGTAACTATTTGTAACCAAGTACCTCTCAAATTAAAACTAAATTATAAAATTTGTTAGTTGTATAGCTATAAACAAAATGAAGTTTTAATATTTTACTCTATATTTTAACTGAAGTCAATAAAATTTTCACTATAGAAATACACTAGAAAATATGCAGTTATTTTTAAGCATATTTATTTATTGTACATGTTCAACCTTTGAAATAGGCCATTTTATTTATGTTATTTATTTATTTTGAAACGGAGTCTTGCTCTGTTTGGAGGCTGAAGGGCAGTGGCACCGTCTCGGCTCACTGCAGCCCCTGCCGCCTGAGTTCTAGCAATTCTCATGCCTCAGCCACCTAAGTAGCTGGGATTATTGGGGCAGACTACCACGCCGGGCTAACTTTTGTATTTTTTGTAGAGATGGGATTTTACCATGTTGGCCATGCTGGTCTCAAACTCCTGACCTCAAGTGATCTACCCCCCGCCTTCCAGTAAATTACCAGATTAAAATAAATTTTTATATAAGACACTGAGCTTTTTGTTTTCTTGACAACAGAACTGTAAGCAATAGTAAATTACTCTAATCCTTTCAAGTACATTTAAGAAAGTTTATGACCTATTAAAGAGAAAAGTAGATCTAGTGGTTGATACTGGCTTATGATTAATTAATTGGTTAGCTAAGTGTCAGAAATCCTAAGAAAACCAAAAAGGTACACCCGAGAAAAAATGTATTAATGTAAATATTTAAGGCAAATTAATTAGTGATATATAATAAATAGGTATATATGTTCATGATTTACCTGTCTACAATTTTAGATGATTTCTTTGATATTTAAATTTAAATCAGTAGATTTTCCTATAGATTTTAATTTTTGTTTAAATTGTTCTTCATTAAATTAAATAAAATAATAAAATACATTTGTAACAGTTTTCTCTCTGCAGCTGCTCTAGGTCATTGGTGGCCATTGACCCATAACTAGTCTACATTTGTTTTTGGTTTTGTTTTGTGTGTCTGACTCAACCAAATTTTTAAAATAATTTGTAGTAACCACTTTGCAAATTCTGAGTTTGTTTTTAAATGTCGAATCTGGCAGTGCTGTCTTGACATTTCTGCCCAGAGACTATTGGCTCTAGGCAGACAGTGCCTGTCTGATTCAAACTGTTGACTGAAATCTCCATTACATTCATTTTCACGCCCTATCTGGCCCTTGCTGGCATATGAGTTTGCAACCTTTGTGGCTTTGCAGTAACTGTCTATGTTACAAAATCATTCATATCTAGATTCAGACATATTTCTTTTTTCTTTTCTTTTTCTTTTTCTTTTTTTTTTTTTTTTTTTTTTTTTGAGACTGAGTTTCACTCTTTTTACCCAGGCTGGGGTGCAATGGGGCAATCTCGGCTCACCGCAACCTCCGCCTCCTGGGTTCAGGCAATTCTCCTGCCTCAGCCTCCTGAGTAGCTGGGATTACAGGCACACGCCACCATGCCCAGCTAATGTTTTGTATTTTTAGTAGAGACAGGGTTTCACCATGTTGACCAGGATGGTCTCGATCTCTTGACCTCGTGATCCACCCGCCTTAGCCTCCCAAAGTGCTGGGATTACAGGCGTGAGCCACCGCGCCTGGCTAGGTTCAGACATATTTCTAAATAAAGCTTAAAACTATTTTGGTAACTTTAAATATATTCGGGTTTTTTTTTTTTTTCATTAAGTTGCTCTGCATTATATAAATATAAAATTTTTATACAACTGGATGAGTTTGGCAAAAGAATACCAACTTTTTATTTTCTTTGTGGCATTAAACTTTTGACTTGTACACATGGAAAGAGGTAATCCTTGAAATGGCTTTTGACCACATAAATGCTTTAACACATGTGGTTCATATTTAGAGATTTCTCATATTTATTCAATACGATTTCTTTTGTTTGTTTATACACATTATTAAGAAAACTTCTATAGTCAACATATATACCGTAGCTGGCCTCTACATAATATAGCAATTACTTTATGTGGACATTCCCAATGAAGTTAAAGCTGTATAAAACCTTTGGATGCTTTCAATTGCAGTGCTAAATAATGGAGTACACATAAAAGAAAACATTTTAGCTTTGGTTTGAGTGACTAAATTTTAAGTCAGCCTGTTTACATTCATGTTATATCATCCCCATTATGCATATCCTGTGTATTTAATTTTGATCATTTGGGTTCTAAAGGAAGAAAGCTATAATTCTGTAATTAAAATTAATCTTACACTTTTGCTTATCCACATGCCAGAGATCATAAAAGAAATCCCCAGACTTGGCCCACTTAGTTGTTGATATCCTCTTCCTGTATTTTTAGAGAGGCCATTTCTCATTTTCCTTAGACACACATTTTCATCCCCTCTTGTTACCTATAGTGAATTTCATAAAATAGAGATGATAAATTTTTAGCACTTAAAATACCTAATTTATGATTTCTAAAAATTGGTGTATCTTAGTTTCATTAAAATATTTGAATAAATGATACCAGAGTCAATTAAGTTTTAAGCAAATACTCATATACCTTTCTTCACATGTGTAAACGGGCAATAAATATGCCTTTATTTTTATTAAAAATAATTTAGAGACAAAAAATAAGTATTAAATGATGTTTTATGCCATCTCTGTCCATTGGAAGTTGTCACTCTAACTAGTTAAGCCTTAATAGCCAGAGCAGATATATCTCATTTTGCATGTGATATCACAGCAAAAGTCTTGTCAGTTGCATAGACAAGGGAAAACTAAGATAGCATTTAATTAATAGAATTCAAAGGAGAATTATGCTAACTAGATTTAATCTATTTTCTCATAATCCTATCACTAAACTATCATTGAATGGTATTGTGTTAGAAAGGAATTCAGCATGTGTGACAGCAATGGACATTTGTCACCTTAGTTGGCCTTTTTCAATGAGTTAAGCATTTTATGTGTGCTATCAAAAAATTATTTTTTATAGTTCAGAGAACCATTTTTGTTGGATGTGTAATTTGGAAGTTTTGTTTACATTATGTCCTTAGGGGTTTTCTTTGTTTTAACAGCATGCAGCTTGACAGAAATACACTACCCAAAAAGGGACTAAGGTATATATTTCTCTCAGCACAATTGCTGCCTCTCTCTGTTGTTATGTAAATTTTGTGTGCTGTCTCTTCCTTCTTTGTTTGTTTACAATGTAGCACCTGACACGTGAGGATGAAATCACTTTTAATCTTGATGGTTTCTCTGGCCCGAACAGTTGGCGAAATAGCCTCTTAGGTAAAGATACTAGTAGAGGTTGAGACTGGGACTCAACTGAAATAAATTCCAATATGAATACTACTATTTTGAAGAAATAATTCTAAAAGAAACTTGTCCCAGGCATTGCTTTTGGGGGGCAGCAACTTTTGGTAGAGTGCAGAGCTCACTTCTACAAATTAAAATAAAATTAATTCTCCTAACATTTGCATATTGGAGGCATATGCTTGCAAATCCTCAAAACCCAGACCGTCTACAGATGTGGGCAGTTAACATGGAAAGGTTGAAGGATGCTGCAATTTGAATCAAAGAAAACATATTTTTATCATCATAGGGCAAATACTGTAAGGCATGATTTTTATAAAATTCTTTTGATAAAAATCTCAAAACTTTCAATTTCTATTTTTCATGGGTGCTGCTATCAGATCAATTTAAATTGAATTAATGTGATATAATTTAATAATCTCAAAATAATTACTCCATCCATAATAAAAATAAAATAAAAATGTAATTTATGGCCATCTTTTACTGTGCACTTTTATCTGAGGAGGGGATATAGAATGAACTACTAATAGAGGTAGGTCACTGAATGCATATGAAAAGTCAGCTACTTTTGGTGCTAAGAATTTACTTACAAAAAGAAAAAGCACTTACCCAGTCTGCTGAAACACAGAATAATGGCAAAACTAGGTCTTTCTCCATTATTATTTTTTCTCTCCAATGTTTTAGCAATAGCAGTTGGCTGGCAATCATTCCATTTTAATATTTTGTTCCAGAAATTTATTTTCCAGTAAAATGTGCACATCCCCCTCCTTATTTTTGTAATCTAGGCATGATGTCAAGTGGCAGTTTTACAAAAGAACTGATTTTTCTTTAATTGAAAAAAAAAAAAAAAGCTGCCAGTTAGTATTCCATTTCCCTATGCCTTCTGTGACCATCACTTCATTTCCCTCGGCCCTGACCCCTCACTGTCCTCCATTTGTAGTCCATGTTTTCACCCTCTTTACATCCTTTCTAGCCCTCTGTTTTTGAGTTCTTCTCAATTAACTTGGCTGTGTGCTCACTGCTTATGATTTTCAACTGCATATCTGATAGAAGCATAATTTTCTCCTCAAATCCTTTTATTTTATTTTTTCCTATGAGATTCAAACAGATGGTGTAAGATCATCTGGAAGAACTGAGCAATTATAATTAGATTCAATCTGTTTGAAGTTGTTGTTCATTCTGAATAGTAACCTCCTCTCAATTGTTTTCCTGTCCTGGCATTGCCTTGCCCTTGTAGATGTGCTTAAGTGTCTTAGCTGTGCTGTTTTGCAGATATACCCCATCATCTCGGCAGGCCAACCAAGAAGAGGGCAAAGAGTGGTTGCGTTCTCATTCTACTGGAGGGCTACAGGACACTGGCAACCAGTCACCTCTGGTCTCCCCTTCTGCTATGTCGTCTTCCGCAGCTGGAAAATACCACTTTTCTAACTTGGGTAAAATATTCTAAAATATCAGTTTTGTTTTGTCTCTTTCACCACCCGCTCTCACAGAAGCACTGAAATCTCTCCATAACACAATACATTTTCATTTAAAGGGAGGGATAAAGGCACTTTAACAGTACCTTCCATTTACTTGTCACAGAATAATTTCCAAACATTATGCTGTATATTGCTCATGACAAATGCTTAATGTAGGTTAATGTTGGGGTTATTTTCCAATCTAGACTCCAGAGGCTTAGGTCATTTGACTTGAAAAAGTCTTACCATTACTAAGGGTTCAAGGCAGTACTCAGTTCCAGAACATCTGACTTCCTATTCCATTTTAGAATCCACTTAAATAACAGGAAAGCAGTTCCTTATTTGTTTGAAATGTTAAAACATCCTTAAAAAATTAATACTCTTTTGTAGAAAAACAGAAAATAGAAACAGGAAGAAAAATATATGTAATTCTATGACTCCAAGTTAACTTATTTTAACATTACTAAAGTTAAAACTCCTTAAAATGCATACAAGAATTTTTGTTAAGACAGTACTCTGAATATTTTCAGATAGATACAATGAAAAGTAAATCACCACCTTAGTCATTTGGTTACTTTGTATTCAGCATTATTCGTATGAAATATGATATCATTTACATAAATGTTGTTAAAAACACTCTGAGTGACAAAATAATTAAAGAACACTAAACATGCCAGATACCATTTAATAGATTCAATGCCTTTTAAAATAAATTTATCTTCTATAAAGTCACATATAAAGTGGTGGCATTATTTTTATGGTAAATATTTTTATTATTAGTTTTATCAGAAAATCTTGTACATAAAGGTGATTTCTGATATATAAATCTTATTAGAGCCAGAGATGATCATTTCTTGCAGAAAAACTTATCTCTAAATTTAGGATAGAAGACAAGAGATTTCACTTTATAATTTGCCTTTGTCAAACTATCTCAGAGAACATCAATTCCATCATAAAAGTATTACGTTGACATTATATAAAAAATTAGTAATAGAAAACACACAAGCCAAAACCTTATATCCTCTAACCTTCAAGTCAATCATCAACTTCTGCTAGATTTTTGAACACCTGAAAATAAACATATAAACATACAGCACTCAAACCATTTGTAATGAGGCACAGCAGTGATTTTTTTTTTCTTTTCTTTCTTTTTTTTTTTTTTTTTTTTTTTTTTTTTTTTTTTTTTAGATGGAGTTTTGCTCTGTCACCAAGCTAGAGTTCAGTGGTGCCATCTTGGCTCACTGCAATCTCTGCCTCCCAGGTTCAAGAGCATTCTTTCACCTCAGTCTGCCACGTAGCTGAGACTACAGGCATGTGTAACCACACCCAGCTAATTTTTGTATTTTTATTAGAGATGCGGTTTTACCATGTTGGCTAGGATGGTCTCGATCCCCTGACCTTGTGACCTGCCTGCCTCAGCCTCCCAAAGTACTGGGATTACAGGAATGAGCCACTGTGCCTGGCCTAGCAGTCAGTTTTAAGCCTTGTATTTTCCAGGTTTCAGCAGAATAACCTTCACTGGTTTCTTAGCTTTTTGCCAGTCTTATTTTGCGTTACTAGGCCTAAACAGAGTATAATACTGAAATACGTTAATAAGCCATACTGAGAACAGGATAAATGCAGGTTTCTAACTCCTTAGGGACACAAGTGGGAAGAACACATTCCGTGAACACAGGTGAATGAATGTTCCTAGTTATCTTTGTTTTGGTAGTTTCATGAGATCATTTTTTCTCTGAGGCTGAAGTCTCTGGTTTAGGTCTTCCTAGCAGCTTCCAGAACAGAAAGTGAGTTTACTTTGTCGCCATATTCTTTTTCTCCGTGCTCAAGAATCCCCTGCTTTACTGATCCCATTGAAAAAACTCCCCTGAGAATGAAGCCTCGTTATTCCAGGTTTCCAGAGAAGCCTTGATTCCAGGCTGGATATAGTTGTACCACACTCTCAGAGGACTAAATCCCATAAACAATATCTTCTGTCTTTATAGATCATAGAACGTTTTATTAGCATGCAGGAAGATTTCTCTTTTGAAGCAAGGCTGGAAAATCTTTATGTCTGTCCTGATCTGCTCGTTAACCACTGTGTAGAGGAGGAAATCCAGCTCGTCCAACTTGAGTTTCAGGGAGAACAGGTCTGCAGTGTCTTCTTGTCAGAGAAGACAGCCTGGCTCAGCCACAATCACAGCTCCATTTTTCTCCCCATAGCTCCTTTGCTTTGAAAATTGCTGGTTACTTCTCCCGTGTTTTCAGGTCTGTGTTCTCCAGGTACTCCAGCACCTCCTTCCAGGGCTTGGACAAAAATACATCTGTGCTGGAAGCAGCAGTACCAAGGCAGCAGCCTCCAGGCTCCTGTACCAATGGACCACATCTCCACAGAGAAGCACTTTGGGTTTCAACTGCCTCTTTCACCGTGCCTTCTCCCAAGCCAGAAGCCCAGATACTAAGGGGCCAAACCCTCCTGGGCCCCTAGAGTCCCAAGAGCCTCATTACTTTTTCTCTTTTCACTGGAAAAAAAAAAATTCTAATAATGCACCTACAGAAGATTCACATTTTTCAGTAATTTAGACTTTGCAACTTTCAACCAGGACAAGACTCAAAGCTATTTCTGTTCTATTGCAGTCCTTCCCACTATATTGAATAGGGTTTTTAGCAATTGAAAACAACTATTTTTGTCATGGTTTTATAAGAGCTAATGAATTTATATCAAACACCAAGTTTTTGTTGCCTAATCTATATAGTGATGAGAGTGTTTGCCTATAATGCCAAAGAATGTGTAGTTTTATTTAAGTTGCAGTTAATTTTTTTAAAAAAACAAAAAGCCTAACACCTTAACTTCAAGAAAATGAATTTAAAATGTTTGTGTAGGTCGTAGAAATATTAAACAAAATGATTTTATATGACATCTGAAACACACTCAAATCACCTAAAGTGCTGTAAGCTTGCTAAGTACCTCCTGTCTCCTATCAATTTTTTTCATTAATTAACATTAATTTGATTAGTTGACTATTCTATTTTTCCCCACCATTATTTTTCTGATTAAATTCACCTTCACTATTCTTTAGGAACAAAAGGACTCACCACTTCCTATGCCTGACATTGGTAAAGTCATTTAAACTTAATTTACTTATCTCTTGAATGGATATATAATACCTAGGTCATATTATAAAGAGTGATGGATATAGTGTATGTAACATGGAGAAGTGTGTAAGACTTGATAGATTCTGCTAAATCATCATTTTTATTGAAAACCATGTCTTACACGATCAGAGACTAGTACTCATCAGATATGTCTAAGCTCTGTCTATATTTAATTGAGTAGTAATTCACAAGACAGTAACCATAGGATTTTATGTGAAGGAGATTCAGATTTTATTTTCGGAAAACTAGTACAAAACTATGACATTTTTATCAAGGACTCATTTACCACAAATAGCAACTATTTGTGCAAAGATAAATGTACTCTAAGATTTGCATAAAGTTAACAGGGCAACTGAAGCCAACATGTCCATGACCACAATGTGTTAAACATAGTGATTACATAGCACACTTAGGAATGTATTTTATTACATAGTTTTCAGAGTTAAAACACAATTAATATATGAAATATGAATTATACTTTTACTGATAACAAACATATCTGTAGAGCTTTAATGTTCTGATGAACTGGAAAACCACTGATCAAATACATTCCTTATGTTTCATTCCTATAGAAACCGAGTCTGAAAGGTCAAGTTTACCTTTCTAGAATGTGGGTTTCCCCATTTAATCTATTGTGCTTTGTATCAGAGATCTCTCAGCTGTGTTCGTCAGGCCATGACTTTAGTGACATTGCCCTCTTGATTCTCTTCATACTTTTCCAACTACAATTCTTTCTCCTGGGTTGCTCATCTTAACATAGCTGTATCATTTATTGTAGACACAAGGTCACTTTTGAGAGGGAATGGAACTGTATTAACAATTGTTCCAGGCATTAGGTACAAACCCCGGGCAATGCAATTCATCCTCCTTCTCCTCCTCGTATTTATGTGTTTACCAAGTTGTTTTTCCTTTAGTCTTTTAAAATCCTAAACCTTTTTCTATGTTCTCATTCACAACTTTAATTCTGAGCTCTCAAATGAACATTTCACTTTTGGAGACCTTTTTCAACTCTAAAACTAAAATCCAATCAGTATGCTAGACTGTATAGCCCCCTCAAATCAAAGTCATTTCGTAAGTTCTTTTCTTCTTTTTTTCTTATAATTTCACATACCATCCTTTTCTCTACTCTAGTGTAAAAATCTATGTAATCAATAGTCTTACTTGAAACTATGCCCTTCATATTGTGCATTTTCAGTAGAGAGGAACCTGTGATTTTATTTTCACAATATCTCCTAGATTCATCTCTCATTTTCAGTGATATTGTCCTTGCCGAAGCGTTTTTAACAGGACAGAATTGCAGTAGATTTGAAATTGATCTTATTGTGTTGATTGCCTTATGTCTCAACATTTCACCTATTGGGAGATATAAAAAAAGATATTCCTATTCATGTCGACACACTCTCATGTGCCTCCCCAGATCTTAGAAACACAAATGGCTTCAAATCAGGCATTTTGAGACCTTTATGCTGAATCATTTCATAGTGGAAAAAAATGACTAATTTCAAAAACATAAAAACAATGTTTAAAGAATTTTTATTGTATTTACAGTTCACCTGAACATCTGTTTATTAGGCAAGAAAATAAGTACTCTTAAAATGCAATCATAAATTAAAGTTACTTTATTATTAAATTTTATATATTATATATATACATAAAATATATAAATACTTACATTGTATATGTCCTATTGTTGTCTTCTGACATCATCCATTTGTTGTTTGACAATTGTGTTTTCTGGATGATCAGTACAATACAGGATTATGATTAATATTCAGGAGTTGCAGTATTCATACTTTCTTTATTCCTTCTACCAATTTAAATGTGTTAATGTCTAAAAGTTTTAGAAATATAGCTGTAAAAAATCACATACAACATACATTAGAAATTTAAGATCACTACAATTATGTCATATTAGGGAGAGTACTATGAGCTACTGCCACAGTGACCTATAGTTTATGTGTAGTTCCCAGCATGCTAGCTCTAATAGAAACCATTTTCCTTCATGAAAGAATAACAAAATATAACTTTCGTAAATCAAAAAGTCTTTGGATGAAACTTTATGTACTATTGGTTGTAGTTCTTGTGAGGCATCTCATAACCTGGTGAGACTCATTGTCATGTTCACCTGAGTGATAACAGTTGCTCACATTCATTTTTCACCTTGCCACAAGGGTTACATGCAGGAACATTAATGTCAACCTGTCTCTTCTAATATCCATCGAATGTAGGAAATATTAGATGGATCCTTTTGCATGCAGTGATTGTTAAAAACCTTCCTCTACCTTGAATCCCTTCCCATCTTCCTGTTCATCCTTCAACCTTCTCAGAATAAGCTCCTGTCTTCTTTTCTTTTAGAAGCATAGAATCTCACAGTCAGAAGAGAGCACATCTGGTTCAACCCTTCATCTCTTATGTAAAATTTTATGACATCTCTAGCTTCTTCTTTAAATCCACCAATGATAGAAACTAGTTAAATCTAGAAATAATACTTTTGTAATTATTCCTTTAAGAGATCAAATTAAATTTTTCTGAATCTTCAGCTGTTGTTCCTAGTGCACCTTGCATCACTAGTTAATGTCTAGACGTAAATGCAAAGGTAGAAAGTGACTTGGGAGTATGTAAAAGCCCAGTCCAGCCACACACATTGGATCATGCCTGTAATGTCAGCATCACTCAAGAGGCTGGGGCAAGAGGATCCCTTGCCAGGAGTTAGAGGCTATGGTGAGCTATGATCATGGCACTGAATACTTCAGCCTGGAAGAAAGAGTGAGACCCTGTCTCCAAATAATAGTATTTAATAGTATCATAAAAACCCAGTGCATATTTATATCAGATCCTGTTTTCCTCAAGTTACTACAAATAAATATATAATCTTAATAAAAGATTAGTGGCTTGGCCAAGATAGTAACTTGGCAATGCAAATGCAGTTTAAGCCAAGGTTAGTAGCCCTCTTTTTCCTGATAGATTGCCACATCTGTTTCTCCTCTATTTAGAAATACTTGTGTGTCTCCTGGCTTTGAATGGATCTTAGTGGCCTTTTATTTTTCCATGGAAAAGCAAAACTACCACTAGAAGCTCTTTACCAAGTTGTGTTTTATTCAAAAAATTATTTTTGTCTATGTTACATTTTTCTTCTGTGGTATAGCTTTTATGTATTAACTTTTCTCCTTTTTCAGACACCTCTCCTACTGGCTACCCTTGAAATCAGTGACTGTGTCATATTTTTCCTTCTATTCAACTACAAAATCTAAAAGTAGAACTGTCATAGTTATTAACTTAATTGAACACTCTTAAACAGTTGGGTGTCCTTTCCTATGGAGAAGTTATCAGAAGTGTTTGTTCATGCAAACTATTCCCTTTAAAGTCTATACTAATCCTCATTAATGTTTCATCTTGATAGAGCTAAGTATTACATATTGAAATTGTAGAAGGACACTTCACTTGGAATCCTTGCAATCATTTTGGTAAGAATTTTACAAAGCTGAAAAGGGAATGAAATATCCTTCTAACCTTTGGGATATGTATATTAAAATGATGCACTAGCAAATGTGTTGAATACTTCATTAATTTAAACAAGAGTAAATTCATACTGTGAACCAAGAATATGTTGATGTACCCCAATCTTGCCACCTTAAACACAGACATTTTAAGTCTTGAATGTCCTACAGTGTACCTACCAGCTGTTGTCACTAATCAGACCTGCTCTGTCCCGCAGAGCAACAGACAGGAACCCGGGCGAGCCTATCGTGGATGAGAAAAGAAGGGACAAGAGGCGCGAAGAATGGCAGCAAGACAAAAGTTCTGATCAAGCTGCAAAGTTTATTTCAAAATGGGTTCCTTATATAGGGAGGGGAGAGGGTAGAGAGGGGAAAGGGGAAGTAGTTCTGATAGGCTAGGAGACGAGTGTTTAGCTCATGATCAGCTACCCCATTGGTGCAGCCATGCATGTTCTGTGCGTGATCAGGTCCTTTATTGGTGGCCCGCCACCACGCCCGGGGCATACTTTTGGCGGGGAGGGCTGATGCAACTTGCCTTTGGCGGGGAGGGCTGATGCAACTTCTTGTTTCAATTGCATCAGCTTAGCCTGGGTTCCCAACACAGACCAAAACATACTAATGGTCACTGCAGGTTGAAGGAATGTGCTTGAAAGATAGGCGGGTCGTCTCCCTCTCCCTTTTTACTTTTTTCTTCTTTCTATCCTTTCTTCTTTTTTTCCAATAGGCTGTGGACTTCACAGATTTATATGTTCTTCCTTTCCCATTACATTTTAAATGTGTGATTCTTAGTCCTACGCTTCCTTTTACTCCAGTCAATAACTGGCTCTATCAGAGGGTCGTTCTGTGTGTTAATTCCATTAATACCAGAATTGTCAAGCACACTGCCTTGCAAATACAAGATACTTCTTTCCAGTTACCTCTGGGTATACTTTTTCTGTTTTACATTGTTTTAAGAGCCAGTATTTTTATTAAGAAGAAGGTTAGTGCCTGTGTCAAAGAAAAAAAACTTAGCAAATTTTGAGGTGATGTCAGACCAACTCTAAGCCACTGACAAGATTCCCTAAGGTTTTGAAAATATTCGGTAGTGCCCTTTGTATCTTAAGAGGCTCCTGTGTCCTTTCTCATATACCAGTAACAAAGTTGCATTACTTAAATGTGAGCATTTAGATCTTTCTCAGTTTTTCTTCTTTGCTTTTATTTTTCTTTCTCAATTTTTCTTCTCAATTTTTTCTTTCTCAATTTTTTTCTTTGCTTTTCTCAATTTTTCTTCTTTGCATTTATTCTGTATTTCACAACTGTATTGTTTTCTAATACAGATGTACATACAACCAACCAAATATTTTCTTAAGTTGACTACCAGATGACCCCAAAAAGATGAGTATCTTTAGAACAATTTGTCAATAAGCAATAAGAAAATGAATTTTTCTTGAAAATTACAGACTTAAGATACTTCTTTGGAAATATAACATGTTTGTCACTTTTTACCATCTCATTGTGATATGCTCATTTTAAACACAGTAGAAAATCATTTCATGTGATTAACTTTATGGTGGACTACAGATACCATGTACATTACATTGTGTTAATTTATAAAAATCTTTATTACACTTGTATTGTCTTATGACATGACTTTGATAATAATGATGGTCCTAATCATGAACTTAAATTAATTAAGAGCTTAACGTGACTGAGAGTATTTTCCTGAAAGTATTTAAAGGCCCTTCTTAGGAAATTTAGATTTTTTTTTGTATTTTACTTTCTTTTTTATTTTGCTTTTTCCATTAAAGTGATGATTATTTCTTAAGAGAAAACCAAAAAATCTAGAAAGACCATCTTTTCTTCATAACAGGCAGCAGAAAATACCATGTCAGTACATTTCTAGCGAGAGCAGTAGAGGTGACTTGTTTGTTTTGTTTACTGTTGCTTTAGAAATTGATATAAGGCTTACCATGAAAGTGCCAGAGGAAAAGAGGAACTCAATGAGATCTGTTATTGAACATTTCAGAGGCACACTCTTACCTTAAGTAGAGACTCACCATACATTCATGTTTTCATAAGAATTGGGATCACGTTCTTACTTCCTATAAACTGCTATTTTCATCTTTCAAGCTTCACAGTAATAGGCTTTGTGTGCTTTGTTTTTCAGTGAGCCCAACAAATTTGTCTCAGTTTAACCTTCCTGGGCCCAGCATGATGCGCTCAAACAGCATCCCAGCCCAAGACTCCTCCTTTGATCTCTATGATGACTCCCAGCTTTGCGGGAGTGCCACTTCCTTGGAGGAAAGGCCTCGTGCCATCAGTCATTCAGGCTCATTCAGAGACAGCATGGAAGAAGGTAAGCATCAGGGGGAAATGAAGACGAAGTCACTTTATTTAAGCCTGAGAGGGAAACCATTGTGTCACTCACATCACAAAGATTACTGAAGAGGAAAATAAATTAGTATAATTATCATTTGGGAAACTGGAAGCTTGGAGAAGTTTTATTCTGTATTACCTTCTATTTCTTTCTCTTTTTTTTAATTTTTTTAAATTTCATTTTAGGTTTTGGGGTACGTGTGAAGAGCATGCAAGATTGTTGCATAGGTACACACATGGCAGTGTGATTTGCTGCCTTCCTTCCCCTCACCTATATCTGTCATTTCTCCCCATGAGAGATAGCATGTTTCTTTATGCATTTGGAAATATGCCAGAATTTGTTTAGATTAACACTTGGCTATAGAAGAGTTTAGACTAAATCTACTTTTCCAATATAGAAATATACAGAGAAACTGTTTTCCCAGGTGCATTAAATATCAGAGCAAATGTTTTGTTTGATATTTTGCTTAAAGATCCATAAAGATACACAAACCAGAAATGTTATTTTATGAAAATACCACATGTTGCTAACTTTTATTCCCAGAAATTCCTTCTGGTATTAGTTTTTTATCATATCATTTTAGAACTCATTTTGTACCTACTTTGTTGCTTTCTACCTCATTATTTCTTCATCCAATAGCAATAAAATTCCCACCTAACCTAATAAATATCTTTTTAGTTATATAGTTCTATGTGAATACTCTAAATCAGCTTGAAAACTTGAAGAAAATGAGTTGATGCTCAAATATATATATATATATATATATATATATATATATATATATATTTAAACTATAGAAGCTCAAATGTCAAATTTAACAATAATTTGAGAGATTTTTTCTTTGATTTAATGAATTTTTTAAAGTATCCATAAAGAAAAATTATGGCACACCTATTATAAAGAATGTCAGCTAAGGATAAAATAAAACTACACATAAAAATTCAAACTGATTAGAATTAAATTATTAACCTTAATAATTATGTATAAAAGAAAGGACTCCAAATCTTGAAACATACCAGAGTTTAAGCCTTTAGCCATCCATTTATTTGCCATATAAACTTAGGCAGGTTTCTTAACTGTATTAGCCTAAGTTCCAGATCTGTAACTTCATAAGTTTGTCACAAGGATGAAATATGAGAATAAAGAACAATTCTGTACCATTCTCTTTTATTTTCTTACCTTCTTAAAGTATTTTCTGACTGAAGATTTAGGCAGCTATGAAAATTACTCATGTTTTTCAGGTCACCACTATAGATTTAATATGCTGCCACTAAATCAGTCGCCTTTTATAATATTAACCAAATCACTAAGTTCACTATGACAAACAGTGAATTATATCCAGTGAGTCCACTGATTACTGCCATGCAGATAGACAAAATACAACTATTCTCAAATGTAAGGACACTGCTTTCCGAAACGAAATGATTCTGTTCTGTTGCTCTCTTCACAGATAGACTTCTTTTTTTTTTTTTTTTTTTTTTTTTGAGACGGAGTTTTGCTCTTCTTGCCCAAGCTGGACTGCAGTAGCGCTATCTTTACTCAGCAAACTCCACCTCCTAGGTTCAAGCGATTGTCCTAACTCAGTTTCACAAGTAGCTGGGACTGCAGGCATACATCATAATTTTGTATTTTTAGTAGAGATGAGGTTTTGCCATGTTGGCCAGGCTGGTCTCGAACTCCTGACCTCAGGTGATCTACCTGCCTTAACCCCTCCCAAAGTGCTGAGATTACAGGCATGAGACACCGTGCCCGGCTGATAGGCTTCTTATAATACTTTAAAAATAATTTGCTAAGCATACAGATGGCTTTCTAGAGTGTGTCATTTACAAATAAAGTGATTTTTTTATATACTGGGAAATTATGGCCTTCAGTGTATGAAGATTAAATAATTTGAATTTCTAAAAGCTAGCCTAAGGGGGCAAGATGACTTTTTTGTGTTCATGCATTGAATACTGAACTATTCTAGTTCTTAAACTGTGATCTAGACTCAAGACTTATTGAACTAGATTGAAGAAACTTTATTGATATCCTACCTGATCTTCACACTGACAGATGAATTGATTGAGCCACATGTTCTAAGGTCATAATCAAAAAGAATGAAAATGAGATCGCCTGATTAATTGTTCACCTTTCTTCTGGTACATCAGGGTAACACTTTAGCTTATGAAGGTATTATTAGATAAAAATAATTTTTTTTAAAATTACTGACTCAAATACTGACATTTTGCACATTCTGTACATCACATAGAGTGGTAGAGTGGGTAACTGCCCAAGTTAAAAAACAAGTTGTTCTTTATTCCTTTTTTGACCACATCTATTTTTAAAAAGTTCTTTTCAGTATCTTTCAATTCCACCCCCTTGTTTTCATCCACGTTGCCACCAACCTAGTGCAGCTATTCCAGCCCTCTCCTGATTAGATTTTAAGTCCCTCCCATATGCCCTTGTAATACACACCACATTGATCTCAGTGGCATTCATAGTACTCTATTGTAAATATCTTTTAAATTATATATCTTTCCTTCTTTTTGAGCCTTTGGGATTGTATCTTATTTATTTGTGTAGTTCTAGGATCTAGCGACATCTTGCCACATTGCTCGTGCTCAACTGTTTGTTTAATGAATAATGAACAGAAATAATCATATTACTTCATAGTAAAAATAAGATGAACTTTTCTACAAATATAATTAAGCACCATTTTTTCCACCTTTTGGGTTTAGCACATTGGAAGTAGAAGTATAAAGCAGAATGTCAAAAGTTTACAGTGGTATTTTGAAATAGACAAAAGCCAATGTGAAATTTCCATTCTCAATTTTTCTGAGACATCAACTTGAAAAAAAGTATTTTTCTGTTACTAAAATTATCAAAGAACAATAATTCCACATTTATGAGTGTTATCAACACATAACAGATAATGTAATAACACATTGGATTAAAGTGCTTATTTCCCTGAACTTATATGGAGAAAAAAAATCTGAAAATGGACCTTCGTTGTATACAAATGAAATAAACAAAATCCATACTTTTTTAAGGTTTAAAAGTTTATGGCAACTTTCTTTTAGGTTTCCATGCTATTCTATTTATTGCATGGGAATTTATAGTAGCTTTCAATATGTACAAAACAGGCTGGTAGGGCTCATGCTTGTTTACTTCTCTCTAATAACTTGGCGACTGAGGTACTTTAGGGAATATGGATGGGGCTCTTCCATGTCTCAATGTCTTGATTGCCAAAAAATTATAGCTGGCTGGTTCTCAGAATCTTATAGTTAGTTGTTATTATTTAATTTCCCTAGCCACTCGTTCTTCACTTTTTCTGTAAAGGCTGTGGTTTATGCATAGACCTCGCTGTTTTAACTCTGTCGTTCTCTTTGTTTTCTCCAGTTCATGGCTCTTCATTATCGCTGGTGTCCAGCACTTCTTCTCTTTACTCTACAGTAAGTAATGGCTGTTAAGAGAAGGCTTGTGCTTTTGCCACGCACACAGTTGATGAAATAGATGCTTGTACTGTGAATAGATCACATTCATCTGTGACTTGTACACTGGAGTTGTGTAGTGAAATAAGGGCATACTCTAAGCTACTCAGTACCCAGTAAAATTCCGGATGCTTCACCAGCCATTCTGTGGTCACTTACATGTGCTTTCACTTGACTTTTGTGCACTCATTATAATAAATGAATGGATGTAGAATTCAATTTTATAAAACCTATTGAGGTAAGACTTGGAGTCTCTGAAATCATGCAGTCCGCTATACTCTAATTTCATAGTCCATGTTTTGATCTCTGAGCCTTGACTGTTAATTGTTCTATAGTTTTTTCTCCTCATTTTTAATTTTTAAGTTTATTATTGAGAGAATTATTGAAGGGTAAAAGCAGTAAGGATAAGGATAAAAGTCTAAAAGAACTAGAGATTTTTTTTTAATACACATTTTGAAAGAGGGTGATTTCTAAAACTTTTTTTTTTTTGAGTTGAGGTCTTGCTTTGTCACTGAGGCTGGAGTACAGTGACCATAGCTCACTGCAGCCTCAAACTCCTGGCCTCAAGTTATCCTTCTACCTCAGCTTACCAAGTAGCTAGGACTATAGGCATGTACCACCATGCCCAGCTAATTTTTAAATTGTTGTAGAGACAAGGTCTTGCTATGTTGCCCAGGCTGATCAATACCATGGCCTCAAGCAATTCCTCCTGCTTTGGCCTCCCAAAGTGCTGGGATTACAGGTGTAAATGAGCACACTTGGCCAGAAACTTTATTTGTTAAAAGAAGAATACCAGTGTTTCAACTTCTTTTGCCAGTGTGTGAAATTATAATTCATTTTTGCCAAGAAGAGATTTTGTTTGTTAAATACAATTATGTCTTAAAAAAAAAAAAAAGCAGGCTACAGGAAGTTATGTTTTTTGAGTGAGTCACTTTAGAGTTGGTTAACAGTGAGGTATATTTAAAAGCAGCTTACTGAATCTCAATGAGACTTGAGTACTATGAATAAGCCTTAATCCTGTATTGTAAGGTTCATGAAAAGTTCATAGCCTCTGCTGTCACTGATTAACTGAGTATCATGGACGATAATCTTTTTACTCATTTTCATTAGGTTCAAATGTTATAGCCTTCTGTTTATAGGTTAATCTCATGTATTTACTGCCTTACATAGTCATCCAAAATCAGACTGTTATTAGCAGAGGTAATACTTTGCTTAGTTCTCCTTTCAGTGATTAAAATTGCCAGTAGCTTCTAGAAATTGAGGAATCACTATTAGGGTTTAGATAAATGTACGTTTTGTGCAAATGGATAAAGTGAAGAATGTATAAATATGCCCGAAAAAAACACATAAAAGAAATATATTATGACTTAGTGTTCCTCCTGTTGGGCCAGTACTGCCGTTGTTGGTGAGTTGTATTCTGATTTAAACCATTGCTATTTAAATCTCTATGTAACATCAAAAGATGTAGCATCATTATCATTTGATTATAAATATATACAATAATAAATATTTGAATAAAATTACCTTTATGAAACCTAATAAAAACTTGAAAAGGAAGGAAGAAAGAGAAAGAAAGAAAGAAAAGGAAACTAGGAGAAATAAGACCTAGTGTCTAGTAGCACAATAGAGTGACTATAGTTAACAATTTATTGTATATTTCAAAATAGCTAGAAAAGAAGATGTGGAATATTCCTAACATGAAGAAATGATATTCTTCCTAAATGAAGAATGGGATATCCAACTTACCCAGATTTGATCATTGCACACTATATTCTTGTACAATACCACATGCACCCCATAATTATGTACAACTGTTGTGTATCCCAAAATTAAAGTTTTTTTTTTTTTTTTGAAAAATTTATTCTTCAAGAAAAGGATCATGAGTTTGAGGAAAAACCGATGACTAGTCTACCAGTGTCCACTAGGCCTTTCTGTATTAATAAAAGTGTTCTGTATCTACACTATCTAATATAGTAACTATTAGTCACATATTGCTATTATTTGAAGTGTATCTGGCACACAGAGGAATTCATTTTTTATTTGAATTAATTAAAATTTAAATGGGCACATGTGCCTAGCAGCTACTAGGTTGGATAGTGCAAGTTTATAGAGAACCCAAGGGGTACGTTTGTAGATAGGAGTGGGATGTCAAAACAATGAGGGTAATTAGAAAAGATACATGAGAAGTATTATATTAAGAGTAGAATATGAAATGGGAAGAGAGATTAAAATAGAATATGTACATATATTTATAGGCCAACATATGGAGGTAAGATGGATCCTAGCTTTAAGTGAGTGAAGAATGGATTACATGATCGAGCCACATGAGAAGGTGACACTACTAGAAAATTAAAAGAGTTGTATATGAGATGATGAAAATGATATATTTGAATTGACAAGTAAACTGTAGTAAAGTAATTTAAATAAATGCATACTTGGGAAACTACTAAAACAAAAAAATCATAAAAGATGAGGAGTCATTCTTTCCCCGGTCCTCCGTGAGCAGGAACTGGGATTTAATTGGCAGTGAGAAAATATCCATGAAAATGCTTTTTAAACTATGAGATGAAAAAGCAACTTATTATTTTTCATAACTTCTTAATAAGTCTGGATAGAGATTTAGTTGATTAGCATTCTTGCCTGGTTCTATCGGGTGACATCAGGCAAGTTGCCAAATTTCTTTGGACTATACCTATAAAATAAAATTTGAAAACATTTGCTAGATCTATCCCATTTGTCACAGGACATCTGCAAACTGGTTGGAAATCACAAGTTTAACCTGATCTGCCGGAGGTGTTACCTTTGGCAAACTTAGGATTTGTGTGTTTGTTTTGAAATCTAAGACCATGCGCGGTGGCTCATGCCTGTAATCTCAACACTTTGAGAGGCCAAGGCGGGTGGATCACTTGAAGTTAGGAGATTGAGACCAGCGTCGCCAACATGACAAAGCCACATCTCTACTAAAAATTCAAAAATTAGCCCGGCATGGTGGTGCATGTCTGTAATCCCAGCTACTTGGGAAGCAGAGGCAGGAGAATCACTTGAACCCAGGAGGCCTAGGCTACAGTGAGCTGAGATGGTGCCACTGAACTCCAGCCTTTGTGACAGAACCAGACACCATCAAAAAAAAAAAAAAAAAAAAAAAAGAAGGAAAGTAGAGGGGGGAGAGGGAATCTAAGCCAACACTGTAAAATATTGTGAAATGTGGAGCTTTTAACTAAAAATTTGAAATTTGAAATTCTTTTTTAAAATAATGGGAATATCTGTGCAATATCTAGCAACACTAAGATGCAATTCCTCTGGGTTTTTAGTCATCTGGAATTGACCCCTTTAGATGTTGGCATGGGCTCTCAGGAAGCCACAGCGCCCAGCTTTGCTTTTCTTCCTGACAGTGAAGCTAAGTTTGGGTGGCTACTTACCATTGTGCTGTTGTTTTCCTCATGAGAAAAAAATACTCCTTGCTATCTATATGGCTATCAAATGGGAGAATGAAAGACAGCCAAAGAAAGCCCTGGGACTCTTTAAATATCTAAAGTCCATTTATTCTTTATAAGCCTTGTCCTGTTAGGCATTTAAATTTTTGATCCCTGCAATAGATGTTTTTTGGTTAACTGTACATTAAAAACTTTATTTAACTTGTTTTGTATTTGAAATCTAATTTGTATTTTTTTATGAGAGAAAGTGCCATTTTTTATTCATTGTGGATCCTTTAACATATTGCCTAACACATACCTAAGACTAAAGTCATAATTTTTCATTAATAAATTTGAATGGATAAATGGCTACTTACTGGCTTATAGAATAAAGAATTAATGGATATGTTCTTATTCAGTCAAGTATTTTATATATTTTTTATCATTCTTTGGGACATTGAGCTTGCTCAAAACCATTGTAAAAAAATGACAAGTGATTCATTCCACACCTAAGCCACTGAAAAAATATATTAATATTTTATCTCATTACTTTATTTTTATGGTAACACCTTCCTGGTATTAATAACCACAGAGTATGAAAGAAGGCAAGGGTTAAAACAAATAATAGTTTTGAAAAATTGGTAGTGAGAAAAGTCATGCTATACAGTATATATAGACTTAATATTTAATGATTATGCTTGCTACTAGTATATGTAACAGAACTATTATAGTTTAATAAAAATGTGGAGTGTATTTCTTGATTTTTTTAAAAGAATGCATTATTATAAAAAATGAATCATTTATTGATTCTTCAGTCTTTACCAGCCTTCTATAATTCTAGAAAGCCTAGAAGCAGGATTGGGCAGAATAAACTGACAAAAAACATACAAAGTAAGCCAAGTACCATGGGCTGCAGTGAGTTGTGAATGTGCCAGTGCACCTGAGTGACAGATCAAGATCCTGTCTCAAAAAAAAAAAAAAAAAAAAAAAAAAAAAAAAAAAAAAAAACCGGCCCGGCACGGTGGCTCAAGCCTGTAATCCCAGCATTTTGGGAGGCCGAGGTGGGTGGATCACAGGTCAAGAGATCGAGACCATCCTGGTCAACATGGTGAAACCCCGTCTCTACTAAAAATACAAAAAAAAAAAAAAAAAATTAGCTGGGCATGGCGGCGCGTGCCTGTAATCCCAGCTACTCAGGAGGCTGAGGCAGGAGAATTGCCTGAACCCAGGAGGCGGAGGTTGCGGTGAGCCGAGATCGCGCCATTGCACTCCAGCCTGGGTAACAAGAGCGAAACTCCGTCTCAAAAAAAAAAAAAAAAAAAAAGAGAGAGAGAGAAAGAAAACAACAAAAAGAAAACCAAAGTAGTAGGGAAAACTAATAGACATAGTTACATAGTTAATTGTGCCGTATGTTTAAAGGCCATGAAACTTTCATCTTAAAATTTGTTGCTAACTTTTTATTCGAAAACCAAACTCTATAAAACCTTAAAATCATTAGGATCTAAAAAATAAAATATTTTCTTAAAAATCTAAAGTTGAGGTATAAATTATTCAAGATTCATGTCAACATTGCTTTTTAAAACAGTTTTCTTATAAAGGCTAATAGGATTCTACCACTTAGCCACTTTATTTTCTAGCTACTACATTATCAAGTTTACATTTTTCTTAAGGTAGAGAAAATAGAAGGAAGATATAACTCAGGTTAAAAGAGTTGCTGGCAAATAAAATATGTCCTGATCATTAGGCTACTTTGCTTTATGTTTTCTGAAAGAAAGGCTATAAAAAACACTTCAGGTACTTTCGTATCAATTAATCTAGAAGTATCCCAAAAATAGACCTAGAAGATTAGAAATTGTTTTTCAGCTTTGGATCTGCTTATAGGAATAAGCAGACTTGCACTACTCAACAACATTATACATTCTTCAGCTTTTCCCAGAATAAGGGAGCTTCCTAAATGTAATGGTGCACATAACTCATTTTCTGGCATTTTGCAGCCCAGCATGGAGAAGAAAAACAGAGCTAGGAGTTTTCTGGAACTCAAGTCAAAAACACCCTACAAATTCCCATAAGCCACATAGCCAAAAATGTTTGTCAGACACTTTTATCACTGGGTGTTTCAGTGTTATTCTTTTGCTGACCTCTGACCCATTAAAATTATTAGTAATCATTAAAGAAAGGAAGAAAATAGAAACAAACAATGTTAATTATCTGTGGTTATCAGTAGAGGTCTGTGTTACCCCAGCTTTACTTGGCATTGTTTCTCATCAGTAAATCAGAGAATAAAATTCTGACGTGTAAACCTTGGCTAGAGATCTCTGTAATTTCATGGAGTCTGTTTCCTACAATCTGTATGAAAGATACTTCAATATTTTAAGTTTTCATTCACCCATATTTTTTAGAGTGTAATTTTATAACTATTTGGTATATGTTGCTTACGATTTCAATTTTAGAGTCTTAATTCTATCTTTTGCTTAAAGGAATATTATATATCTCTGGATCAAATTACCTATATTTTAAGAATATCTTATGGTTTATATGTTAAGAAACATTTATTTTAAATTCTAAACTAATTTGTTTATACTATTTCAATTGAATAACTTTATGTATTTCATTCCATTCTTCTCATAGTAGATAATTTAAAAATATATATCATAACTATTTTATTCATTTATACTTGCAAAAAAATTGAAAATACTTTTTGTAGTTTAAATCTTTCTTTTTATTGTTTTACAGGCTGAAGAAAAGGCTCATTCAGAGGTAAACAAAATATTGGAATATTTTAATATTTACTATTTTAGTTTGCATTCATGATGAAATTAGTGTTGTTACCACTAGAGGGCTCTGTGATACAATAGCAGCACTCTACAGGACTGCTGAAGTGATAAATGGTCTTTGATATTGCCTCTTAAAAATAAAATGAAAGGAATTTTGTATAACAAGTTCTGCTCTCACATTCTAGATTGAGTCTTAGCTCAACACCTAATAAGTTTTCTATAATAATAAGCACTCATTACATCATTGATAAATGCAGGCCTGTGGTCTTCCTATTTTATTACTGCCTTTCTCCCACTACCTGTGAGACCATCTACAGAGGATTAATGGTTGTATCTTAGGGAACAAGCCTCCACAACACAGGATACCAGCATCTCAGACTATCTATTCTGTGTCATGATCTTGTTGCCTCTAATTGCTGTTTTATGTCTGGTGTGCCAGCTATTGTTCTAATAACACATATTTCACAAATACATATTTTGTTGCACACATGAACCAATCAGACTGCGCCAGGAGATAAAGATATTTTAATTTCCCTTGGTAAAACATTTGTCCTGGCCAGAGAGAGCAGGAGGACTTTAATTATAACTTTGTTCAAGGTGAGGTAATGACCGATTGGTTTACACTGAAGCAATCAGACAACAGAGAAAAAAAAATGCCTTGAAAGTAGATTTGCAAGAGTACTCCTTTCTTTTGAAGTCTTATTTCATTAGCCTTTAAAAGTAAAATTTGTGCTGTTTATTAAAATATTTGAAAAGTATTGATTAAACCAATTTGTCTTTATAGTCTCTGAACAAAATGTGGATATGTTGTTTTTTTTTTTTAAATCAAAATGGTTTTGTTTACATCATATGGGCATGACAAAGCTTCTAACACTGATCATAGTATAGCTACTGGAGCATGGGAATGCTACATCTATTTGCCTTTGTAAAAGTTATTCAACTCCCTTTTATTACTTATGCTCTATCATGGGTTATGGTTTAAAAAAAATTCAATCACTTTACAGTTCTCTGGATTATATTTTAAAGATACTGGAATCATGTAATAGAGATCATTTATTTTGAAAAGTGCTCTCTGAGTCTGTATTCATTTAAAAATAAAATAGAAAAATATTTTCAGAAAAACACTTTCTGAAATCATTCATGGTCATAATCTTATACATGTAAAGCAAGTGTTATTTTAGACTGGGGTCTCTCTGTTTTGGAAAAAGAAAAAGAAGAATGAAGTAGAATCACATTTGGTGAAATTATATAAATGTCTATTAAGTCTGTTTCCAGCTGAGAGTTCTCTTCTTCGTTAGAGTTTTTCAGTGGACCACCATTTCTTTTCAACAGAGGCAATTAATAAACTATGTCAAGAATGCTCTTTCAAACTGAGACAGCATTCCAAATGTTCAAGTACAACAATAGAAGACTTGTTTTCAAAGAAACGAGAAGCATTTAAAGTAGAATGTTTAACATCCAAATAACTAAAATTCCTTGAGACCAGATATGTAGTTGTGGAACCTAGTGTCAGATTGTTATAAATGTTCTATTCATATTAGTCACGACATGAGACATACAGATTAAACTGCAGAAAGTGCTTAAACTTCAAACATGATATAATATATCATCACCCTTTTCTTTTTCAGTTTTATTGGAGCGTGAACTTAACTAAAAAGAAAGACACTTTAGGATATTCATCATACTGGTTTATCTAATTAGTTGCACCTATTATTGCTATTTCCCCCCTTATTTTTAAGCTAAAGATATGCTATAAAGCATCTATGAGCTAATAATAACTCACTAAATAAAGGCCATGATAATACAGATTTGGGAAGGCTTCTCTGTAGTCATCAGAACTCCAGCCAATAAAATTTCAAATGTGAACTGATTAAATGTTGAATTAAGCCCAAGTTTTAGTGACTGAAGGGTATTCTATAGCTTTTGAGATGTTTTCAAACTATGAGAAATTAAAAATACAGAGGAAAAAAAACCAACCTAATATTTTCTGAAAAAGAACATGGAGTATCTTTTACTAAATAAGACCAAAAAATACATGTGTGTATATAACTGTATATATATATACACATATGTATATGCACACACACACACACACACACAGACACACAGACACACACACACACACACACACACACACACACACACATGTATATTCAGTTTTTACAAAGAAAATCTTTTTCTACAGTTTTATTCCCACAATTTTTCTAGAGGGGGAAGAATCAGTACAGAGGGTAAAGTGCTCTTAAGTCATTTACCATCTGAGGGATGGCAAATGGGGCAAGTAAGCGTATTTTTATTTGCAGATTTGAGTACCAGCTTTGAAGTTCAACATGCAGCCCTTCCCTTTTGAATGATAATCACTTTTTACTGTGGAGCTAGTGTTCATATCTTTTGTTTTCAGGAGTTGGTGCTGATACAATGGGGTTCGAATGAGCTTTAGTGTTTGTTTTCTTGGTTTGAATTCTTGGTTTTAAGTAAAAATCTGCTTGCATATTCCATTGATTTTCTTTGTTGCATTCAGCAAATTCATAAGCTGCGGAGAGAACTGGTTGCATCACAAGAAAAAGTTGCTACGCTCACATCTCAGCTTTCAGCAAATGTAAGTCACTTGATTTTTAAATATATTACAACAGATTTTTACATTGTAAAATGGAGTCATTACAGTAATACACTTACAAACTTTCAGTGCCTGAAATGATACAGCCTTAAAAAACTGACTAGTGGGACTCATAAAAAGTTAACATTTTCTGCATACTCAGTAATGAAATGTAAACCCAAACTAATGAGGGATGGCAATATGGTTAAAATGCCCTGCTGTTTCTAATAAGATTGGAAACAACAGTAACAGCCATATGGGTTGCTTCTTTTCTTGTTTGTTATTTTTATTACTCATCATACATAAGACGCTTTGACAATATAATAGGGGTTGTCAGTGTTTGACTTTAGAACATAAAATATTCATGTGCCCAACCTCCTTCATTTCAATGTATTGAACAATTAGTTAAGCATCCAGTAAATTCTAAAAGATGAACTTAGGTCTAAATTGGGATAGCTTAGCTATACTGTGGATGAGCCATAGTTCACTCAAAAAAAACACTGGTAGCTTGCATAGCAGTTTGAAAGGGTACACTTTTACTGACACCAGAGCAGCCCAGGATGGCAAAAATGATGATGATGAAGACCGTCAATTAAATTAACATTTACTGAATATCTTCCACTGTGCCAGGGAGCACTCAGAGTAGATGCAGAATGATAAAGGAGAACATGTGGCACTGTTCCCAGTCCTGAGGAGCAGTGGTGTTAGGAACAGCAGCGAGGTGTAAGGAAATGCCTGCTATTTTGCCATATGTCTTGCCTCTCTCGCTCAACAGTCCTTTGCTCAGTTCTGCTGCAGAGCTTTGGGCCTGCTCTGTGCCTCCCCACCCCTCCTTCCTCTCCTCTACTAAGTTTTTCTATCTCCTAGACAAAACATGATATATCAGGAGTGAGCAGGTGCACGCCCAACAGTGTAAGACTTGAATAAGAGTCATTTTAAGATTTTTTTTAAAAAGTTATCATTGTGCAATATAAATTCTAAGTATTTGTGTCATTTCATTCACAATGTATTCATTTTAACACTGTATTTGAATTTATTTTCTTTTTGAAATTTGGGAGAATTAAATTAATTTTGGATTTATTCTGTTTATTTTTTATAGATGTTGTTAGGAGATTCCTGAAAATAATAGCAGGTTTTAGAGAATTGTTTAAGCAATACTGGAAAATAACAATATTAACCTTATTGTGATTTTTAAAGAGATAGTCCTGAGGCAACTGTATATTTTATAATATAACCTACATGTATAGAAGTATGAAATATTGGCCTGGTTTGGTGGCTCACACCTGTAATCCAAGCACTTTGGAGGCCAAGGTGGGCATATCACCTGAGGTCGGGAGTTCACGACCAGCCTGACCAACATGGTGAAACCCCATCTTTATTTTTAAAAATAGTAAATAAATAAATAAATAAAAATAAAGAAGTATGAAATATTGCTGTCTAGGTTCCTGAATTTGTACCCAGAGGAAGTAGAACAATGAAAATACAAGAACCTCCTTGGTTATGTTTATCTGCAATAAGGAAGGCTCAATGGCAGACCCTACTTATTAGATTGTCAAAATACTTGCAGATGTCTTGAATGATTACTCAGGGTTCCATTATATTTTTAATGTCTCTTGATTGAGCTCATCATATAATTCAGATACTGAAATAATAAATGACTGCTGGACAGAATGGAAGGTGGGCTAATACTTCTTATTTAAAAAGTAATGATGCTTATTGTATAATAAGAAAAAATTAAAATGGTGTTTCACTTTATTTTTTGTTTTTGTTTTTTGTTTTTGCTCTAAGAATATCATTCTTATTATTATTGGTTTCTTGTGTATCATTTCAACATTTTTCTATTATATGCTCATGTATATATACTTAATACAGATATGCAAAAGCTTCCTTACACACACACACACACACACACACCCGGAACCAAATTTTAACATAGGGGAATAGTCTTGGGGGTCAACTCTGCGTTACTGTTTGAAAATGGAGCAATAATTTTAGAAAGGTGCCAGCAGTTGGCTACCCACCCCGTCTGCACTAATTATGCATGTCATACTATTTTCACTGATGTGTTTTCATGACTTTAGGGCATGAATTGTCAGTGGGGTGTTGATAACAAAGGGTGAAAATTGGTTCTTGTGTTTTTGTGGGTTAAGTACTCTTTTTATGTGAGAAACACAGATATACAGACAATATATAAATGAACATCCAGCTTTTCTGTGGCTTTAAAATGTCATGAGGGAAGAGCACAATTAGGAAAAAAAAAATCTATAATGATTCTCCTGGGGGACAATAATGAAAAAAATAAAAGTAAGGAACACAGACTTAGAAGCAGCTGTGCCAATAGATAATTTCATGCCAGTCTTTGTGCTAATTTTAAAAGTGCTAGTCTTGAAGACAAATGCCCAAAGTGCTCTAGGTTCCACTCAGCTGTACATGTTATCATTAGTATTAATTTTTGCACACTGATGGGAGACTGATATATATATATATATATATATATATATATATATATCCTATTTTTATGCTCTTTTAAACAATTTATAATATAATTTAGAAACCGTCTCAAAACACATCAAATTCTCACAAAAACCTGTACATAGCAGCTTTATTTTTTTAATAGCCAAAAAAGGGAAACAAACAAAAATATCCCTTAATAGGTTGGTTAATAAATAAATTCTGATACATCTATATCATGGACCACTACCCAGCAATACAAAGAAATGACTACTGATAGATACATGTATCAACTTGGATGGATCCCAAGGGCATTATGCTGAGTGAAAAAAGCCAGTTATAGAAGGTCAAATTTTGTATAATTTCATTTATATAACATTCCAGAAATGGCAAAATTAAAGAAACGGAGAACAGATTAGTGATTGCTAAGGATGGAGGAGAGAGAGAGGTAGTGTGACTATACTTAGAGGGAGAACTTTAGTTTTGTATCTTGAATGAGATGGCCATTACATGAATCTACATATGTGAATCTATTAATGTAAATCAATATTGTATTCCCAGCTTTGATATATAATATAATTATATAAGATCCATGATCATTGGGCAAAACTGGATGAAGAATACAAGGGACCTATCTGTACTATCTTTTCAACTTCTTGTGTGTATAATTATTTGAAACTGAAATATAAATCACCCAAAGATCTAACACAGTTCTTTTGAAAAAAAATCTTACTTTTAGTTTCCCAGGCATTTCAACTTTAATCCATTATTTAGTGTTTCTTTATTTGGTGGTGATAGGGACTGTCAAAGCTTTTTATCACCAAATAAATTTACTAAGAATAGGAAAATGTTTTACATTGTAAAAATGCACAAATTGAATGAGAGTCAAAAAGTACAGGTAATGAAGCTATGGATTACTATCTATTTGTTAACAAAAAAGTTTATTAAAATTCCACTTTAGACTAAAATTGCAGTATCTTGGAAGTTACATAAATGGATATGTATGTAAATGATTATAAAACAATTTTAATATCAGTTCTAGTTTAAACATTTTAATAATGTTGTTATAAATACGGGGGTATAATTTTGTATATTTCTGGCCACTTGTGTTCTTAAGGAAATAATCTATTTTACACATTCAGGAATTTGAATTACTTGCAAATCACCTATTAACTACAAGTCATTTTAAACTTATTCATTTTCTTTGTGTTTGGTTTATAATGTCATTTTAGATGTCATACATCATAATGAGCCATCAAATAATTTAGTTAATACTTGATTTTTCCTCACTTATAAGAAGTGCTGTGTTTAAATTTCATTCAGAGTGTTTCATTTCATGAGAGTTAATATCTGTTAATGTATGTAGTATACACATATATTTTTAACATGCATGTACTTAAATTGATTATAGGGATTTGATAAAATTATTTAATTATAAGATATTTTAAATATAATCAATGATGATTTTAAATGTACAGTTTCCATTTGAAAGTAGAAGTAAGTCCTTGTTTAATAGTTTGTTCACAGTACAAGTAAACTTTTTACCTTTTGGTTAAATGTGAGTGTAGCCTCCACAATGAGAAATTGTTATATTAAAAATCTTAATAGCTATAATTTATAGGGATGAATTTCAATGAGTTTGGTTCTATGAAAAAATGAGATGTTTCTAATGACATTTTTAAGTATCAAATATTCATCTTTACTCGGTATATGAAATGTTCTATCATAACTTATATGCTTTTCTTTTATTTGGGGTATTTTTGAAACATTAATTTGTATATCACACATTTGAACTTGGCATAATTACATTTATATGGATTCCAAACAATAATCTGTATTTTAAGTTTTAAATCTGAAATGCATCCGTGTCTCTGCTAAAATGCATTTCTTTCCGTTTGCTCAAATGGAGAGTGGTAAATCAAAAGCATATCTGGTTAGCTCAGCTCTCATTTGACTGGCAGAGTAAAGCCTCCGTTCAGTAGAATGTATATTAAGTTTTCCCTCCCTTTTGTAAAGTTGTTCTGAACAGAGCTGCATAAAACCACATGAAAAGTGTTAAGCTGATTCTACTAGCATGTTCTTAGAAAGGAGAGCGGGTATATTTGCAGGTGCCATTGCCTGGCTTTCTGATCAATAACCTACCAACAAACAGAAAGAAAACAGAAGCCATACACGGAAAGGCAACTGTAGATGCTTGGTCATAGTGCACAATAAGCCAGGTAGCCGCTGGCTTCTTGCCCACACCTTTAGGCAGCTGGGTCAGGTGCGATGCTTTTGTCTGTCTTTTAACGTGTTTTCTTTACAAATCTCAGCCATTACATTATTTGGAAATGGACACCAAGGCTAGATATTACTAATATTTTTCAAAGACGTTACTGAATGAATAGGAAAGAAAACAAAAGTTGCTTTTTTTGCCTTTCAGCAGATAAGTCTTTTAACCAATTATCTCTTGGGTATTATTTTCTTTGAGATTGTGTTCTATTTTGCTTATTTAATATTTTCATATAATCTGCTAGTTACTCTTGTTTTTTTGCATCTCTTCTAAGGGCAAT